CATCACACCTCCAAATGCACAGTTTAGAAAGCAGAACAGTATATGCATTTCAGATACTTAACATGGGGTTTTATTTGGCATAGTGGAAAAGCACCTGTTAGATATTTTGTCTTCTGAGTCTGTGCTTTAATGATACTCCTCATCAAGAAATTCTACTTGCTAATGACTCTCTTACTCTCTAATGACTGAGGAAGAACAAGTTCTTTAATAGCTAGATATATTTACAGTGTCCATATTTACAGTTTCAAATGTCTAATTATTATTTCCAACTATTGAAGCATATTGTTTTGGCTGTAGAAGCTTTTGTGTGTTTATGTTAAATGAATTCTGATGCAGAACATAAGCTGCTGGAACTAATCTGCATGGTGCTTTAAAGGGAAGTATATCTTAGTGGATATTCAAGGTAGCAGCAAAGCAGCCTGGAAAGTGTTCACTGAATTAAAGTATGCAGCTGTGAAAATGAAGCAATTCATCTGTGCTACTGCAGTGCATACTCTAAGTGGTTCACACTGCAATAATTGCATTCACTGTTATATATTTTTAAAATTAAACCTAAAAAGTTTAGAGCTGAAACTTGTGGGGTTTTTTTCCTCAAATGTAGCTTTTCTTAAGGTAAATTTTTGGCCCATGCAAAAAATTACAGGTTAATATACAATGTGTTTACATTTAAAATAATAGAATAAATCACTGTCCAGTGTGAGCTTCTAATTCTAACATTCTGATTCTAACATTCCTGAGGTTTTGCAAGAACATTTATCTGTAAGGTAAGAACATAATAACTATTGTTCATGCAAAACTACCAATATGGGATTTTTCTGGAATCTTATGAAGGCTCTGTTCATTTAGCATCTCTACTACATAAATATTTTTGGGCATGTTGTTGGCAATCTTGTTTGATCCACCTGCAAGAAATAAGAAAAAGTATTTTATTTGAAGATGTTTTGTTTTCAACCCCATTTGAGACGGAGATTAGAAAATTGTCAGAAGCAAAATTTGTTTCTTGGTTGTATCTTTCCCCTCTGTAGCAAGAAATGAGACCTCAGAGTTGACTTAAGAAATTGCTTTTCGAGATAAGATAAAATATCTTCTTCTTTTCCTAGCTGAATCTTTTGCCTTTTTAAAGAGGTTCTGAGTCCTTATTGTTGAGTTGATTGTGAAATGCTGCCAGAATGTTTTCACAGGGTAAGACAATTCATAGAAAGGCTTGGCTATCATTTGCCACTTAAGAATTTAGTCTGAATATATTGAGACATATAATCTATTTTTGCTACAGAAACAAGTTATTGTACAAGAGGAAATAGGAAGGTGTTGGCCAGAGTTGGAGGTATCCTTGGGAGAACTGTGTTCTCTCATCCATTGCTATAAAAACAAACCACCTGTTTTCAAGAGGAATGCAGTTTACAGTCATATCCATCATCATTTCTACTGGTATGAAAACTCTGTTGGTTTACTTGTCTCATGGAGGATTTTGTGATGATAAATTTACCCTGAGTGGTTAAGGCTTATCTGTATTTGAACCCCAAAGAAGATTTTCTGTTCCGTTTCCACTCAATCAATCCTTACTTAGAGTTTTCCATCTGGATTGGAACATGCATTCTTTAATGAGAAAAAAACCTTTGGGGGAAACATTGATTCACTGTAAAGCTCTGTACATGATTACTTACTGATATAAAAATTACCAACTGCAAAAGTATGAAAGCACGGAAGAGAGCCTTTCTATTTTTCATGGCAGCATATGTTTATGACACATTTTTGGTGCCGGATTCTGATAGTGTCTAAATATAGGGCCTTTTCCTCATTCAGAACAAGGCTGCCAGCACTTCTTTCATGCAGGATTTCTGCTTCCACAACCAGGTACCCTGTTTTGCATATAGCAGGAAAGCACAGGGCAGAGGTACAGACTGGGGGCTTTGGCATATGCTGGTAGAGCACAGTCATCAGATGCCCCCAGAGATCTGAATATATATCTGAAGATATGTCTTGCCCCTTGTCTAAGGGGAGGGAAGGGCAGGAGGCTATGGCATGGCTGGGAGAGCATGTTAGCTAAGCAACCATCTTAGCTAAGATCCTAATATGGCGTTACGTGATAGTTAAGCAGATGATTTAAAGGCAAATATATTTATATTCCAAACTGTTCAAACTTTTCAGAGAAACTGAAATCTCTAGCAGCTTACTTAAAACTCTGTGACTACTGCTTATACAAATTTATTTCTCTCTGAATATCTAGTCTTGGTTCTGCCCACAGCTTTTTCTAATAATATAACTTACTCTATATTAGAAATGTCACAGAACAAATTTTCCATTCCATTCTTCTACGGAAAGTGGCTAAGTAAACTAGCATAAATCTGAATGGTTTTGTGCATGCAGGACCTCCTTTTAACGACACTGCTATCTGTTCAGCTGATGGTACCCAGCACTTTCAAAGGCTGCCTCTTCTGCTCATCAAATGCTTTGTATTTTCAACAATACCTGAAGAAAACCTGAAGAGGTTTCCTGCAGGCTTCTGTGATGCCAGAGTTTGGGTGAAATATTTGTTGTGATAATGCAGGACAATGGTTCTCCGTCTACCAGGAAAAGGTTTCCCTGACGTTTGACAACACCCTCTTAGCAATGGGCAGCTCTTAAGGGTAAAAAAAGAAAACAAAGAAGCAAAACCCCACAAAACAAAGAAGCAAAACTCCACAAAACAATAAATAAACAAAAAAGCCCACAAAAACAAAGAAAAAATGTTTTTGCACATTAGAGTGCAGGTATTGCTAATCACTGAGTACAGAAAAATTTACTAGATTCCCAGATCTATGTCCCTGTTGGGTAGCTGAGAAATTTGTTTAAATTCTTTTTTTGTGGGTAGTTTTTTCCCTACTTTATAAAGTGGGTGTTATAAATTCAGTTAAACTGGGAATTTAATCTAATATGATATCAAATGATATCTAATATGATATCATCATATTAATTTGCTAAAGAGAAAATTCTATAAAATACTTGTCAATCTTGCAGTCTCTGTCTATGGCTTTTGTGGAGTTTTGTTCTTTTTTTTTTTTTTAATCCTCTTCTCCTTTTCACACCAATATTGTTATTAAAAATCCTGACTGTATCCACAGTTACATGTGGACAAACTTACTATCTTGAAATCAAGTCCTGGTCTGTTACTATTTTTATTATGGCCTGCTTGTTAGTGGACATCTGGATTTGAATCTTAATGTGATTTAGGGTAGATAGCAAACCTGAAAGTAGTATTTCAGTATTGTGGAACATTGTGGAACATTCGGTGCATATTTCATAAGCTCCTTTAGCTGTTAATGGTGATACCTGAAATTAGAGGGAACTGTCATTTTGATGCAAAAATAAATGTGTACTGCACTAGTAGCAATAGAATCTGAAATAAAAGCTCTTATTTTTCCTCAACCATAATTAACTAGCACCAGTCAATTCATACTAACTACTCATTTACTTCCATGGCATAATCTAATTCTGGACTAGCTCTTTGGTGAATGAGAATAAAATGTAAAAAAATAAAACCTTCAAAACCAAGCAAACAAATCCCCTCACCCCTTTAAAAACAAAAACAAAAGAATGAAATGTAGGTGTGTGACTCGAGATACATATGAGAACCAGATGTGGCAAGCAAAAGCATACTCCCTTTTTCACTTTTGTACATGCCAAGTAAAAGCACAGCCTAAGCCCGTGGGTGAGAAAATTGCAGTGAATTGCCCAGCTTATTTTATTTCTATTTTTGAAACTTAGATCTCCATACAACACCCAGAACCCTAGGAATCAGAATCTAATTTTTGAGCACCCAGGTTATTATCTGCAGCTGTGCAATGTTAGAGCATACTTCAGATACATCAATATTTGAAGGCACAGGCTAATTTTTGTCTAATGATACAAGTCTATGTCTGTTTGCTGATGTAACCATGTTATCTCTCACGTGACTTGTACAAGGCAGGTACAAGCTGCAAAGTAGTGAACCACTCAGATTTGATGATGGTCATCTGGCTACACAGATTAAAACCAGCAAATCTCAATTTACCAAGAATACCCATGGAGTTTTGATGAGCTGATGATACTCCGGTAGTTTGGATTCAGAGATTAGGACTTGTTATTTTGTTTGAGAGTAGGTGATGGGTAGATATACTATGAACAAGGTAGACACTCATCTGCTAGACGTGTATATGGGTTGGACTGCTTCAGTGCTCTATGGAGCTACATCCTGATGGAAGAATAGAATAAGTCTTGCTATGTTGTTATAAAAGTATTTCTTGCTGTTCTTACTGCCAGCTTCTCAGTCCAATAAAGGAGAATTTCTTCCAATAACTTGGTATTTTGAAGAGCCTGTTAGGAAGCACCAAACAAGGTTGTTCATATTTCTGGAGCAAAGGGCTTCTTTGACAGTGACTACTCTCTTTGCTTTCTTTTTTTTTCTCTTGGCTCCAAGTACACAAATGCGTTCAGCCAGTGTTCATGTCTGTTTCTGAAAAGTGTTGAGAGACCTCAATATCCTCTTTTACACGGCTTCAGTAAAAAGTTGTAGTTGCTGAACAGGAATTTTCTGAGTCACAAAGAAGACAGGTAGTTTATGGAGTATGAAACAAATCTTTGCATGTGGAACAAAGCAGAAATCTAAGATATATAGCCTTCCCTTACACTAACCTGTCAAAACTGTAACTAATAAAGATGTTGGAACCACATGGAATGAGAGCTACATGGTCCCACCTGTATGTGGCACTCTGCTTTCTGCAAGATACTGTTTAGCATGCAAAATACAAGTTTTGAATTTAAAATCTCTGAATGAGAAGGTATTCATTCATATGAAATTCATACTTTTTCCTTGGGACATAGTACCCTTCAGTGTACACAAGCTGGAAACTCATTCAAATATTATGAAGTCAACAGAAGGCAGAATGTTATCTGAGAAAACTTGGAACTGGTAGTCCCAAATCCTCCTACTTCAAGGTGGGCTACATCTCGATATATTTGGTTCCTGAGCAATGAGAGGGAGGATGATAGCAGGAGCTCATAAATTTCACAGTGCACAGCAGCTGATTGGTTAGAATATACATTAAGTGCTGGGTGAAGAGGAGCTTTTTTTAGAAGTAGACTGTTTTATAACTATATTTTAAATGTTTCATGGAATGCCTAAAGCAAAAGATAGCGTTTCTTTTTAATCAGGGTATTTATTTGTTGAAATAAATGAATAATTTATTTCCTTGCTATCTTGGTTGTATGTCTTCTTTCTGTGGATCCTTGTCAGGATGTACTTCAAATGGATATTTTTAGACAGCAGTGTTGGTCTTGGGGAGTAATTGAAGCATAGCAGTAGGTGAGTTATATGTCCCTGTAGTTGGCCTTTGGACCTTTTGAATGTCAGTTTTTACAGTAATTTTGTTACTTGAAAACATGCCGTGGTGATTAAGTGTTCACATCTTTTATCCCAGCAAATCAGTTGCCATCTTTGCATTAATCAGTCAGGAATACTGCAAGCCTTACTATGTTGTGTTCAGCTGTCTCCGTGGTATGCATAAAACAAGTACAGGGTAATTTTTCCATCTGACCTTCCTTCAGTCTGATCTTGTCTCTATTTTTGTTAAAGCAGATCAGGTAGTGTGACTCAAGGGAGTCTGATTGCACGTCTTCTAAGTATGTTTATGGGGTTTTGTCTTCTTATTCGTCTGTTTATTTTGACAGTGGCTTGTGTGCACATGTTTTTGTGTATTTATTTGCACGCCTGCATGTACTTGTCAAAGTACCTTCCAGAGTTTGCTTCCAAAATGCTGGACCTGGTTCTCAAACTCTTGCAATTACTTTGCTTTAAAAGACTTGTGGCAAATATAGGTAAGTGAAGGAATAAGTGCAATCCAAGAGTGTTTTAGTATTGAGACATCTAAACTAACATGTTGACAAAATAATAAAATTTCTTTAACAAAAAAACGACAGAGATACCTTTGAAAAGTCATACCATTTACAGCATATTTAATTATGAAAGCATCTCATATGAAATAAATAATGGGCAATATTAACCTATGAAAGCCTCCTAGACTAAAACAAAATGACACAGAAAGCTAACAAGAAAATATTGATCATTGCTGTTTATTGGCATAAGTTAAATTATTTCAACTTATTATCTCAAGTGATACTAAAGAATTTAATCTCCAAGAAAATGAAATCACCCTCTGAGATAATTAAAAATAGAGCTAATGGCTTAACTTCCTTCATCAGAGCATGAAAATGTAGTTGTATATATTTTAAGTACTCAGGCAGAAGTATATGTAAAAAAAGGAATTTATTTGTAGTAAGGTTTGTCTAATTTTGCACTGATAGATAACAGTTTGAGAGTATGACCTTTAGCTTGAAAGCTCCATAAGTCAGGATCTTTTTAGACAAGAATATTTTATAAACTTTCAAAAAACATAGATTTGCAGATTTCTAAAATATTCTGGGAAATGGATCTTGAGAGAACCCTTCACAGAAAGTGTGTGCTATCATAATGCAAGTTCAAACAATTTAATGTATAAGAGTCAGTTGATGTTCTAGCTGATTTTATTCAGTGTTGTGATAACTTCATAGCATTTGATAGAAATAAATTAAATAATAATGGATATGTGAAAACAAACTAGATATTCCCTCAGCCTGTTAACATTTTATGACATACATGTTTCTGTGGAAAATCTTCACTGAAATTCTAGATATTATGGTTACTGATGAAGTCATTCTCTTAAAAGATTATTTTTCAGCAAAACATAAAGTTTCCAAACAGGCAAAAATTGTGTCCTCACATGATTTTTGCACCAGTTTCATCCCAAATAGATTGTATTATGCTGTGAAGATAGAAAAACTGATATAAGAGCTGATATAAAAATGCAATGCTAGAATAGCATCATGATCATCATTGTAAGGCTCATGATGACTTCTCCCCAATTCTCCAGACTTTCAAAAGTCAAGTGTATGATTAAATACTTCACCTACTTGCAAAGACACCTGCCATGGGTTATGCCAGTCATGAGGCAGTTTGTGCAAAGACATCATCCAAATACCTGACAAGAGCTTTAGCTCCAGTAGACTTTAGCATATGCAGGTTATGTCCACTTTTGGAAGCAAATCTAGAAGATTCACCCGAGTTTTTTTCACTCCCAGTGATAGATATTGTTGAATTTTAACACCTTTTGTAACAATACGCCTTTTTTTCCACAGAGATGCAGGGCAGAAATCTGGGTCAAAAAGTCTTATCTTAATATTAGCTAACCTTCATGTCATTCCTTTCTTGAATGACCCTGTTAAAGCCATTTCCCAGCATGGGTTACTATAATATTGTATTAGCATTTCCCACCTTTTTACTACTATAATAAATGAAAATACTAAACCACATTTATCCCTGAGCTGTTTTTTAAGAAATTTGGTTGCTGGTGTTCTTTTCAGCTTTCCCTGTTGTAAGTTGCCTTTTTTGTTCTAATGAGACTTAGTTCTCTCCCTTTTAAATAACTATGTTCTATAAACCAATACTAGATAAATTTCCTTTACCACACTTCCTTTCTCATTAAGATTATATTTTACTTTGATTGTATCTAAAGTGGATCAATTAAGATAGAGGAAAACTAAAAGAAAGCACGTCAATACATTATAAATTGAGCGTATTACAGTGACCAGGTTAAACATATGATATGTTGAATGAAATGTGACACATAAAACAAAATGCTTATGGAACAAATCTGTGACATAGAACAGCATAATCACAACAACCTACTTTAGACATAGGATAAATCAAATGTAAAAATAGAAATTGCACATTGCCTTTTAATGGTTAGTTGCACTTTCTCCCAGAACTGAAGCATAATTATAATACATTTTCCAACTGTTTCTTTTTCCTTCCAGTACTTGGGCTGTATAGAAGTCTTACGGTCAATGAGATCTCTTGACTTCAGTACTAGAATGCAGGTTGCAAGGTAAGATTTCGAACAACTATTTTAAAAGTAACTTATGAGTTGTGTCCCCAGAGTGAAAAGGTCAGAAAGATGGCAAAATACATGGTAAAGGTTTTTTGGATACCATAAGTCCTCTTTTAAGTTTAGTTTTTACATGTAAATCCCTTACGTGGTATTAATACAGTTTCAACAGGACTTAAAGGCTATTTTCTCAGTAGATTTTTGATATGCCAGGAGCTACTTAGGAAATTTTTGCCTGTTTGTTATACCAAATAAGGCACTTATCTGGGTACTAATTTAATGACATTTAAGCCAGTGAGAATTAGAATATGTTTAAAATCTATGATCTCAAAATTAATTGAGGGAGCTGGTTTGGAGCCCCATATTTATAGTTTTTTTATAGTAATTTCTTATGAAGAGTTGTCAGATTATAAACTATCTGCACAAAGGATATAAAGGAAAATATATCATCACAATGATACCAGAGACAAAAATAAAAACATTATTTATTTTTCAGACTGTATGTAAGAAAAATTAAGCTTGTATTAGGTTCTTATGTCAGTTCCTTTAAATGTGTCATGGTATTTTTGTAAGAGCAATATATAAGTACAACACTAAAAAAGTGTCCATGAGTTATTTTTTTCTATGAAGAACATTTTCTAAGAACTATAGGAATGTTGTTTTGCAGGCATTTTCATTGAAAAACTGAGTCATTGATTTCAGAGGAATGTAGCACTGATGACTTCTAGCAACTGGAGACCACTTTTTCAAATTCTGGAATTAAAATGATAAAGAAATTCTTTTCAAAGAAACACATATAAAGTGATATTACTGGATGCAGTGCTTGAATTTCACCTCTTTGAGACGTCTTACAGTTGACAATAAATAAATCTGTCATCAGCCATATAGCATACCATAAACAACTAAATATTTATTTTATTAAATGAGAAAAAATCACTTGTTTTAGGCTTGGATGCCAGTCATACGGTCTATATGCATTGACTTTGAGTTACACTTGCATACAGCAGCTTTGAATTGGGCCATGTATGTCCTCACAAAAAGTGAACCATTAATTTGTCAAGATAATGCACTGGTGAGAGGCATAGAAGCCGGAGGACAGGTAAATGACAGAATCCTGTTTTTCAAGCAATGTAGACTCTGGAGGCATTTGATAATTTTCTTACTGTACTTTTAAAAATGTATCATGTCCATTTCAAGTATTTCAGCAGTGACCTTTGAAAATTATTTCATATCTGAGCAGACTTGTAATTCCAATATAGGGGGTATATCTATGTTTACCACTTGGAAATTCAGTGATACTGGCTTATGAAACAGTTGTGATAATTATTTGGTTTGCTTTCTATATCAGGAAGTGAATTCATCTTAATTTTTCTGCAGCTTCCTCCACTGTAATGCCTTCATTGTAATAGTGTTGTACTTTTCTTATTACCTAGCTTAAAGGCACTACTCTAACATGAATACATAAGCATATTTGGTGTTCTGAAGTAAAATGGTCTACACAAACAAAATATCTTTGCCTTGTAGTTCCTCCCATAAAAACCCAAAAAGTTTATTGGCTTTTACTGTGAAACTATCTTGGAATTGTATTTTTTTTGTGCTGAAGTTATAGCATATCTCACTACGTGAAATAATTTTGTTATCCCACCTTCCTCTAATTATATCTAGAACACAGATTTTTTTTTCCAAACAAGAAGCCATATCTTCCTGTTCTCCTTTTATTTTGCATTTGTGTTTTTCTGTTTATCATAAAACAATGAAATCTCATAATTTTTGTAATGTAGTTCCTGAGCTACAATTTTTCGGGTTTTAGGTAGCTTTCAAATCAGGATCTAGCATGTTAATCTGCATTTCATTAATTCATCTGGCTCTAGAAATCCCCTTGTCGTGTCCTAGGTTTTCAGTACTTGCATGCTTTGTTATGTTGCATTTCACGTACAAACCTATTGTTTATAAAGAAAATATTATTAAGGAATTGCTAAATTCACACATGCTAGTTAACTTTCTGGTGTGTTTTAAGAAACATAACATAGGCCTCAAGGCATGTACTGAAATAATAAGGCTGATGTTCTGATATTACAGGCACCAATTCCCTCTTAAGAAGACACCTGATACCAAATGGTCTGTGCAGCCCTTTGATTACAAATAAAGTAAAAGCACCTGAAAGTTACATTTATGTCTACTACATCATACATGTTTAGGTACGTCCATTGCTGATTTCTCTGCAGCTTGCCTCCAGTAAAAAACCTGTCCTGGTAGCCTCCTGCCTTCTGATGTGGTACGGCCAAGGCTTAGGTCTGTAGTGTTAGCCATGACTGCATCAGCCAAGCAGCCTGGGTCCATAGCTGAAGTAAAAGCTTCTCTGTGGAAACCTCTCGGTGCTGTTTCCTCTAACCAGAGAAACAGACGTCACAGCAGCTGCAATCCCTTTCCGACCTACATCTTTATAAACTGACCCTACTGCATGCATCACACTTGTTGGATCTGTTATTTTTTTCAAGACCTTTCAAAACCAGTCATAGGAGAAAATGATCTGTCTTGGACTGATTTGACTTCTGGCATTATGCAGTATTTACTAAGTATGATTAAAAAACAGAAAAAATGAGTTAAGTTACTTGATTTAGTGTGGTAGTCTGGATGCATTTCTTCCTAGTAAGTAGGCATCAGCACTTACTCCCTTTTTTAGCACTCCATCACATGCCTGTCCCTGCCTCCTTTCTTAACCTTACTTTTTCTCCATGTTGCAAGGCTTAAACATAGGAAGTCAGTTATTAGGAATCCTAAATTCACCTTTTTTCTGCCTTCCAGTTATTGCATATGCCACTTTATGTCTCTGTCGGCTTTGAGGATGAACAAATCCCCAAAGTAAAATAAGTAACATCAATTCCTAGAAGAAAAAACCTGTGGGGCTCAGTAATGGGAGGGTAAGACATTTAGTCTCTTGCTCTGCTTGAAAACTCCTGGTATTATTTTAGACAAACTGTTAGTCCCAGTCACAGACAACTCTGTGATTAAATGAATTAGTGCTTGTAAATGGCACTTAAATTGTTGAGTGAGCACTTGGAAATTACTTAAAAATTGGACTGAGATTTCCACTTCTCTGGTGAATTAGAGATAGGAAATTCATGGGTAAAGGTTGTGTAGATAATTTGAATAACTTTGAAAATCACAGCTGTTATAATGCATTAGGAAAGTATATACATCAGTGTGCATGCATGGATGTATCTGACAAATGAGGAACTTTAGCTTCAATTTCAGGAACTGCACCAAAGCCCCAGAGTAAATAGTTTGGTCAGCAGTCTTTCCTTCCTTACAGAAGTCCTGTGAAATATCAACTCGTGCCATCTAATGCTGTCTGATCTATCCTATCCTGTAACTTCTGTTTGTTTTGCCTTTTCACTTTTTGTACAGTAAAATGTTAAAACTTGCAGCAATACATTTATCTTCATGTGAGAGCAGTGAGCAAACACTTTCACTGGGCATATTCTTAATCAGATCTTAATAACCTTGGTGGTGCCTTGCAGTGGTATTACTGCCCTAATGTTGAGTTGGAGGAAAAATGAGCACTAATGTAAAATTTCCAACAGTTTTTTGCCTTTATCATTACACATTTGAAGTCTCAAGTTTCTCTCACTACAGGGGAAATAGAAGAACCAGAGTAATATTAATCGGTTGTATTATATTTATTCTTTTCTGTAATGAATGTAATGTCATGTGAATTTTTGAGCAAATAAGAGGATGCGCCAGACAACGGTCAGCCGTTACACATAATGATAAATGAAAGCCAGCTGAATCCACGTGTTGCATCTCTAATTACCCAGTGATAATTCTTGTAACACATGTGAAGTCAAGATTACTTTCTTGAGCAGCAAGACAAACAGAAGCATTTAATTTTCAACATAGTGGAGGAACAGGAGGACTAGCAGACAAGACTACGGAGCTAACCACGGGTGGCAAGTGGTTAAAGTTCATCCGAAACCTACCATCATCGTCATATAAAGGGGCCACTCTTAAGCTTCTCTGGCCAGGCCCTTTGTGCCTTCAGGCTTTCTGTAAAAAAAATAAGTTAAAAATCAGGTAAAATTCTTTTGCAATGTGCAGTGTTTGAAGTTTGTGTAATATGTTTGTATGCTTATTGTTAAAGCTGTAGTAAAATAATGAGTCCTCACTTTTGTGTTGTATGCATGAGTGACTTATGCACTGGTTTGAATTAAATGTTGCATGCACTCTCGGTTGTACATCTGAGTCTGAACTACAAGGATGCATGTTCAATGGCATTTAATTGAATGACATCAGTTTACTGCCTGCAGCATCATAAAGTCACACTTCACCATGATGAGTAAAATATTATGTTGCATGCTGTTTTAATAGAATAGGTCAGAGGACTGAAATACCTCAGCAGTGGACCCAAATCCAGACTCTGATCCTACGTTAACTCTATTGGGATGAAAAGCTTGAAAAATACTCCTCTCCAAATTTGAGGCCTGAACTATATTAATAAAATTATCAAACCAAATCCATTTATGCCAATATCCTTGGAGGAGAAATTGTGGAAATCCAAATTTTACGATTGTATTTGTGTCCAATGCTAAACAATATGAAGCAATTCAGTTGATGTACTGTTTCACCTGTATCTGTATTGTTTACAGAAATTGTTAGCGAGCATCACTGAAAAAAAGGATGGAAGGCATTGAAAAGCAAGAATGTGTCTCCTGTGATTTTTGAGGGCAGATAGGTAATCTGTTATCTGCAATGAATTTTGTATTCAGTGTCCTCCTTAACATGATGTCTTGCTCAAAGGTGAGTGTATTTTATCTCTGTCTTCTTCCATGTGAATTCTGGGTATAGGGTGGTGCTTAGGAGATGACAGAACACACAGACCATTTGCAGTTGCAGAAAGAGGTGGGCACAGTTACTTCAGAGTCAAAGCTGTGGGGAGCATGAGGTGCAGACTGCTGCTTGGTTCACCAGGAAGCAAGAGTCTCAAAAGTGTATGGACACAT